ATGAAGAAATTTTGTAAGGTTAGTAAATGGTATAGCAATCTGGTGTGAAGATGACAATCACCTTTATGAACAATTCCTGCTACCATTTAGATTCTGACTGTCATTTTAGCTAGTATATACACAAAAAATTCTTCATCGTCATAGCTCATGAATTATTTACCACTCAGGTCACAGTGCATCGTTGTTTAGAAGATCACAGAAAATAAAATTAAGTTCTGGCTGATATATCACACAGGGTTTAATATCGCTGGATAAATACACTACCTATACACATGGTTCTTGGTCACTTATAGGTTGACCTCGACTTGCATTTGAAGGTCACAGGGACAGGTTGATGAGACTACTATACTGTGATAGATGCTCCTTATAATGACATACCTCAACAAAGTGTATATGTTGTGTTTTTTTTTGCGAAATCGGTTGTTTTGCAAAATTACCGGAATGCATATTGGTAATTTTGCAAAATAACTTGCAGACAACCTAAACTAACCTAACCTTATGGTTAGGCCAGCACATAGTCCAAAGTTAATAAAAAAAAGAACAGGACTACTTAACTGTGTATCAAGCTACACGAGCCATCCTAACCTAACCTCTCACTTACCCTAACCATAAGGTTAGGTTAGATTAGGTTGTCTGTTAGTAAGTTATTTTGCAAAATAACCGATTTTGCAAAAAAAAACGTGACATAAGTCTATACATACAGTACATGACCACGACCTAATCTGAATGATCACACAACTATGTATAAAAGTTCTCCATGACCAAGCTATATACAGTATGTGCAGGGAGTGATACACTGTTGACTCACCACTGCCAGAGCTTAACGTCATGTCAATATCTCTGAATAGTTCAACCACTCATGACCTTCACTCACTTTACCTGGTCACAGAGTGGATGTAATACACTTTATACCAGGGTTACATTCCACAGCTACGTCCCAGTTTAATCGAATATGTAAATTTTTGTTATTAAAAGTATGAAAATTTTGGTGAATGCATTACCTAGTTTTGTTACACCATGTTTATATAATTTGAAAATAAGGTGGTTTTACATACAATAAACTTTCCATATGTGAAGCACAGAAAGTTACGTGCCAAGATGTTTACTTAGAGAAATAATGACATCTAAGTTAATAGTGTATTGTTGTGAACTATATTTTTGACCACTCTACCCTGACCTCTTAAGCTCAGGTTAATACATCCCTGACCACTAAAACCAAAAGAAAAATAAACATCTAAAGATCATGGAGGTCATTTCAAGGAGATGGTAGCGATTGCTACATATATTTATGACACCCAAGAAGCTAATTTAAGAACGTGATACATTAGAGCTGCAACATTGATCACCGAATTTTTGCTGTTTTAGTAGCATAAAATTTTCTTCTAATTGCACATCTGTTGCTGCTGGCTATTTATGTGATAAATATTCGATGTGATTTGAGCTGCTCGGTCGAGAATTAGGGGACACTGTCAAAAAGAAATGAAACCAGCATGAATAGTCTTTATTCTGAGATTTGACTAATTTTTGGGTAATCAGCTTCCCAAATTCAAAGGGACTGCTGAATCCAATGATTTCAAAATGGCCACAGAACCCAGTATCCAAACTGGCCACTGAATTCAATGAATCCAAAATGGCCACTGAATCCAGTGAATTCAAAATGGCCAATTAATTCAAATGGTTGCTGAATCCAAAATGGCTGCTGAATCTATTAAATCCAAAATGGTCAATGAATCCAGTGAATCCAAATTTGCCAATGAATTCAAATGGTTGCTGAATCCAAAATGGCTGCTGAATCCAACGAACCCAAAATCGAAGCTGAATCCAATTATACTCCAAAATGGCTGATTGAAAATTTTTCACCATTGTTCTTTGTCCGCCTGACGTCTCTGCCTTTTAAATTTGATGCAAAGTTTCTGGAGTATAAACTCAGAGAAGAGCGTACAATGTAGGTCAGTAGGTTGTGTGGCCCTGGGCAGGAGGAAGGGATAACACGCGCACACACAGCTTGTTGCTTTGTGTGTGTGTGTGTGGGGGGGTTGGTTGTGTGTGGATGTGAGTTTTGCGTGTGTGGTTGTGTTTTTTTTTTTAGTGTAGACGTATGTGGGTGTGGGTTTTTATGTGTGTGTGTAGGTGTATGTGTGGATGTTTGTGTGTACCCATCTCTATACATTTGTGTGTGTGTGTGTGTGTATATGTAGTTTTTATGACTGCAATTAGCTTCGATGTGTTTAGCAGAATGTAACTGATTTCGTGTATTTTTCACTTTGTTTTTGTAATTGTCTGATACATAACACTCATTCATTCATTCACATAAGTACTCTTACTAGCCTGAGAGAAAAAGGTAAGAAGATGGCCAAGAAAGAAGAATGAATGATGGAAGAATGAATGAAGGGATGGGGGAGGAAGGGAAGGGGAGGGGGGAGAGGGACTGCACCACCAGTTTCTTGCTCGTATTCAGATGGGGGGAAGTTGGCGGAAATTGACCCTCCCCCCTTCCAATACACACACACACATTCTTTAATTTTCTTTCTTATCCTTTTTCTCAGTCTCTCTCTTATCTTCTTTATCATTCTCTCTTTCTCTCTTATTCTCATTCTGTTTTTTATACTCTTTCTCATTCTCTTATCCTCTTCTCATTCTCTCTCTTTCTCATTTCTCTCGTTTTCATTCTTTCTCTCATATATGAGACGCGTACTGGATGTCTCCCAGGAAACAATAAAATAAATGAAAGAAAGAAAAATTAATCTTACTTATGAAAGACCATTTTTTTACCCGTTATTATCATTAATTATTATTGTTTAGTCATTGGCGCATTTCCTTCCTCCCAACATTAATCTGCGTTTTATAATCTCACTTTTTCTCTAAATATTAAAACATTTTCCAGACACCTTTGTATTTTTTGCATTGGGTTTATTTTGTATTTTCGTGGAACGCTAAAGAATGAAGAATTATAGTTTTTACTGTATTATGTATTGTTAATGATAGTCGTGGTTGAAATTGGTTTACATGGATGTTAACTAATGCGTATGTAAGGGAATGATGGTGTTTTGTGGTGTGATGTGATCGTTCTCTTGTTAGCTGTTTGTGTTATTATTATTATTATTGCTTTGTATCATTATGCATTAGAAATTTGAATATATTTGGGTCTCATGAATACATTATTAGGAACTCCCGCTTATTTCACCTGAGGATTAAACACCCTTACGATAAGCGGGGGTTTAGACTTAAGTTAGATTAGCATTAAGGTTGTTTAATCATTCTTGTATAAGAAGGTCGGGTTCCTAATGTTTACGAGATCATGAGTGTATATACGAATATTACTTAAGGAAAGTATTCACGGAATTCTTGTGATTCCAGTACAGTATTGAACAAACTGCAACACACCTGACGAATATACTGTGTACTCCACGCCTCGTTATCCAAATCACACTTCTCAGGAATATTAAAAAAAAATATTATTTCATTACTGCTTCACCTGACTAACATTTTCAGTCCCTGGAATGAATAAATTTATGGTGCATTCATTTTTCAAGCCTGGTGTTTTATGTTTCTAATGTGAAGATAAATAACGTTTTTCCCTTCTGTATATATTGCATTATGCATTTAGCTGTAAAACGTTCCCCGGGTTTTATTTGAATATATGAATTGTATAAATACTGTGGTGTGTGTGTGTGTGTGTGTGTGTGTGTGTGTGTGTGTGTGTGTGTTTCATACACGCGAAGATGTTCATTAGTCCACCGACCACTGGAGTTGTATAACCTGAATGCATAAAATTAAATCACTGAAGTATACAAAAATAAAACATTAATACACAGTAGACTCATAATTTTTAAACTTTTGAATTCGCGAAACTAATGATTTTTGTCAAGGATTTAGTAAATGTGAAATTGAGATAGTTTATTATTTATCAAGAATGATTTAGTTTATTATTTATCAAGAATGATTTTACGAGAAGAAGAGAAGACTATGTAGTTTATATCGGGAGAACAATAAGTATAAATCAGAGAGACGCGGCGTGTAAAATTGACAAAGGGATTATATTATGTAAAGTGTTATATATATATATATATATATATATATATATAAGGGAGCTGGTGAGAGTGGTTGTTTATTGTCATAGTTACGGTTTATGGTCATTACTGTGGTACGTCACGTGTGGTGGTTGGTTCCTGAGAGGTGGAGGTGGTGTTGGGGAGGGGGGGAGAGTCAGAGGTTGGAGGAGGAGGAAGAGAAGGAGAAGGGGAGCGGGGAAGGAGGAGTAGAAAGGAATTGGTGGAATGGAAGTAGGAGTAGGGAAGAGGAGGTAGGTAGGTAGGTAGGTAGGTCAGTTGGCACAACAGTAGGTGTTGTCTGGCTATTAATTTATCATTCCTCTATAGTAATTAAACCTGTCGAGTCTGGATTCCGCCTGTCACTCTTCAACAAACACACTGCTGAGGGGGGGGGGCGGTGAACATGAAGTAGATTTATGGATTTCAAATATATGTTGTTATTCCCAGCTTCGTATAGGCCCTCACCCTATACTATAGGGTGTTGGGGTGAGGGTGGGGAGGGGTGGGGTGGGGTGGGGTGCTAAGGTTTGTCGGTCCGAAAGGTTAGACACCCTAGATTATAGCACCAGATGATTAAACACCCTAGGGTGTTTTAAGTTAATTATCGGGCGGTGGGGGGGCTATTATTCACGTGATCAGTAGTTATAATTCAGGTCACTATTCACTGTGGCCATTACTCACGGCTTGGTTAGTTTAGTTTCCTAACCTTACCGTGTGGAGTGGGAAGTGGATTTATCGATGAGAAAGAAATAAGTGTATAAAATTTAGCGGCGTAGTGTATAAAACAGCTTTTGCATCAGTGTCACATAAATTTAATGTTAGTGTCGGTATGAAATCTTTTCTTTTTCAGTCCACCACCTCCCCCATATCCCCTCTGCCCCAGTGTGGGCATGTGCGGGGCGTGTGGTGTAGGGTGCGGGTGGCGCGTGCGTGCCCTGCAGCGCGGGTGGTGGTGGTGTGAGGTGTAGGTAGCATATCCCAGCACACACCGGGCGCCGCCACAACACTCCCGCGTGTCACTCTACACTGCCGGTAATCCCCACCTCTCCCTCCCTCCTGCGTAGTGTGTTGAGCCCACCCGCGGGGCCTCCCACTGTCGGTTTTTCTTCCCCCCGGTGTCCTCCAGTGACCAAACTTTTCTACTACAACAGGAAAAAACTGAAAACAAACTTTGTGTCGGTATTATGCAGCGCCAGCCAGCGTTAGTGAAAAGTTTAGATAATGTGTAATAATTGGAAGGTTCTGTTTCTGGATAAGAACTGGTGTGACGTAACAAATTATGGATCATGTATTAGGTACTTACTGCACACGAGGACTGACACAAACAAACTAGACGTCAAGAATTGAGCTCCCTGCGGTAACACAAGTGGCAGCATTATGCCATTGAAGTTCCCAGGGAGAGCCAAGCCGGGTGGCGTGTCTGCCCTGTCGCCCTCAAGTTGTTGTCGACGGTGGAGGAACAGCACAACCACCATCACCAACACCACCAACACCTCACCGTAGAAAGATTTATTAACCAAATAACTTCCGGCAGATTTAACCGGGAACCTGGACGAGGTATCGTACCCAGGCGATCACCCGGAAATTTTGGAAGAGTGAAGAGGGAGGGAAGGAGAGCTGTTAGATCCCTCCCTCTCTCACCTTCCCAGGTGACAGGGAGAAAGAACAGTATCTGGGATTACCTTGATTATTAATGACTTGTATTACTTGTTAACGATGATAAATTACGTTGTATATGAATGGCGTATTAGTGACGGGAATAACGTAGATCAGTTCTAATATATATATATATATATATATATATATATATATATATATATATATATATATATATATATATATATATATATATATATATACTACAATAATACTTTTCGAAGACTGAGTATATGGAATGAGAGTAATCTAGAGAGACAGGTAACGTGAAGATACTAATGACTGGACAGGTAGAGAGTTGTGGTAATGGTCAATGTTTTTGTGTGGAGTGACAGGAACCGTGAATATAGAGAGAGACTGGAGGGGAGTTGAAGGCGGAGACTAAAGTGATGGTTGATCTGTCTGTTGTCTGTCTAAAGTATTGGTTGGGGCTCATTCACTCTACACTGGCCTGGTTACCTGCAGCTGATTAAGTTAGGTTAGGTTGGGTGGGGTTAGGTGGAGTGTGTCCTGGAGGGGAGCTATTCAGTTATTTGTTGGGTCGACTCAGCAGGTGTGTTGAGTGGCCTGTGGCGGAGTTTGTTAAGGATTAATGGTAGTGGGAGATTAGCTGGGGGTGGGTTAGGGGGAGTGGTACGAGATTAGGTGAGATGGATTAAGAAAGGTGGTGGGAGATTAGGTTAGGTGGATTAGGGAGGGGTTGTGGTATGAGATTAGGGGAGGTATTAGGTTTTCAGGAGAATACAATTGAATCGAATGGAGATTTGGATATTAGTAATGAGATTAGACAATCACTATGGCGATCAGATGACTTCAGGAGTGAGTTCCAGTACATGATAGGTGATCATAAAGGTAATTAGGTGATACGTATAGAATGAATAACTAGTGAAGGTGAACCCAAGGCATCTACAGTACTTCCTTCACGCCTGACTGCTTCTCTGTCGTAGATGTTAGTAAGGTAGACTGTGGTAGACGCCGGCCAAGACTACAGTCTGGTGTTGATGTTGCCTCCTGTTTGGGGTTATTTGTGTCGACAGTCGTGACTCTACGTGTTGCTTTCTCGACCCTCTGTGAAAATGATTGTGTTATGTTTATCTTTATTTTGCTAATTTTGGTCTTTTATTGATGATTATAACAGTATATTCTTCTAATCTTCAATGGTTACTCTATACTCAATTGTACAAGTAAGACTGATGAATTGAAACGTAAATTCACGAGCTTACATTCTGGCTCAGTTAGTATTCTGGCGGGGATTTTCTGTCTCAGCTGTGGTGAATTATATAAAAAAAAATGTAAAACAACAGCCCAGAAGCTCGCTGTTATGAATTACGAGGAGGTGGGCAGAGCACGTCCTGGGTATATTAAATGTGTTAAAACAGTGTACAAGTAGAGGAAGAAGCCAAGTTTAAAATTCAAGTGTTTATCGTGGGGCGTGACGCTTGTGTAGGAGCAGCAGCGGGAGGTGGCTGTAATGGAGACACGCTGCTGCTGGGGAGATGGATTACATGACGAATATTTGTACTGTGTGTGTATGTATAGCTTTGTCCTGTTGGTGATGTTGTCCAGTTCGTGAAATGGACCTAACCAAACTCACCCTAACCCAATCCAGCCTATCCTATAACTAACTTAGAGTAGGTTAGGTTAGGTTAGGTTATTTCAGGTCATTTTGCATAGTTCGTGAAGTTCTGAGCTCCTAATCAAATGTAGGTTAGGTTAAAGTAGGTTCGAAGGTTGGACTGGTTAGGTTAAATTAGAAGGTTGGATTAGGTTAGGTTAGATTGGGTTAGGTTAGGAGCCCACTTCACCAACTAGACTACAGTATTTCACAAACTGGGCGGTACACATACACACTGTTGTCAACAATGGTTGGAGGGCGATTGTGTTATGGTGGCGCGGCGTGGTTCTTACTTCCTACAAGGGTAGTGAACGCTCCAGTCACACACAAAGGTTGACCAGGCGTAGAAGTTACCAGACGGCGACCACCTATGTGTGTGTGAAAAGAATGTCATCAGTTTATGAGGTCATCAAGAAGAACACAACACAAACTCACGCACACAATCTACATCAACAGGAATTGTTTTTATAGTAATCCAGAAAACTCTGTAAACTATCTAACAGTCACGTGATGGCAGTTTACTTCTTCCTCTTTACTATACACGTTCCTTCTTCACTCTTGCTTTACACATACCGTATCTTATGTTCTGAAACCCACGGCGAAGTATTTTAGTATAGTTCCCCGTTCAGACTCCAACCTCGAAGTAATTCTTTCCTCTCCCTCCCCGTTCTTCCTCTTTCCTCTCCCCCTTTCCTCTCCCCATTTCCTCTCCCCCTTCTCCTTTTTTCTTTCCCCTTTCTTTCTTTCCTCTCCCCCCTTCTCCCTCTTTCCTCCCCCGTTCTCCCTCTTTCCTCCCCCCTCCCCCCCACCCGCCCAGGATTACTACTGACGGAGGGAGACTTGAGTGACTCCACCCAGTCTACCTTGTGAAGTAAGTCATGTATACAGTGTGTTGGGTGATGTTGTCTCGTGTATTACCACATGTTATTATATCTACTTCTTGTAGTTGTTGTTGTTATTCTTGTTCTTGTTTTTCTTCTTCGTGATCCCTGTACACACCGAGACACTGCACACGACACTACTCTTCTGTCATCTGTATAGGTAGTGGTCTCATATTACTGTTAAAATTATTGAAATATTCATGCGTCGGGGGGATATACAGGGTGTCGATAAATGATTACCCTAAAAACAGTATGCTCTGCAGCTCTCGTGCTTTAATCAGGGTAATCATTTATGGACACCCTGTATTATGTGTAACTGTTAAATATATGTTTATTACTCTGATACATGTACTTAAGTGGTTTGGGGTTAATATGTTAGTCAAATATTCACAGGTAACAGAGTGTGAAGGTATTAATTGGTATAGATACATTTGGAACTTATGATTAAATATCTTGAAATACTGTATTCTTGGATAACTACTCGGTCAAGATAACACAGCCATACTACTCGGTCAAGATAACACAGCCACACTACTCGGTCAAGATAACACAGCCACACTACTCGGTCAAGATAACACAGCCACACTACTCGGTCAAGATAACACAGCCACACTACTCGGTCAAGATAACACAGCCATACTACTCGGTCAAGATAACACATCCTTGTATATTCAGGGATAACACTAGGTCAAGTTAATATTTGAGTGATTGTTAAAAAAAAGAGGAAAATTCGTGGATATTTATGGAGTTAATTACACTTGGACAAAAGTTAAGAGAAAACAGATCCCGTTGACACCTGCTCATTAATTACCTGACGTAGTGTGGATGCTTATTACCTGGTGTTGGTTTGTCTCCCTCACCTCCTCCCTCCCTCTCCTTCCCTCACACCCTCCCTCCCTCTCCCTCCCTCACACCCGTACCTCTCACCCACCCCTTCTCCCCCACGCCTCACACCCCCTCGCTCATCCCTTCCCCCACGCCTCACACCCCTTCCCTCACCCACACCTCCCTCCCTCTCCGCCTCCCTCTCACCCACGCCCTGCCCCCTCTCACCCACGCCCCGCCCCCTCCGTCACCCCTTCCCTCTCATCCACAACCTCACCTCACCCACCCTCACCCACCTCCCCCCCACCCACCTCTCCCTCACCCACCCCACCCCCCTCACCCACCCCCACCTCACCTCCCTCGCTCCACACCCCCACCCACCTCACCTCATCTCGCCTGACCACTCCAATCCTCCTCACTTCTCACCTGACCTCCCTCACCCCCACCTCCTCACCCCCACCTCCTCACCCCCCACCCCACTCCCCCACCCCTACTCCCTCACCACCTATTCGACGCCTCCACCATAACGACCAATTTGTACTCAACAAATTAAGTTATTCCTGCAGGAGGGTGGTGAGCATCCCGCCCCGCCCATGTAGTCACGTATAGTGTGGTTGTGGTGGTGATAGTATAGGGTTGTGTAGGGTTAGTGGTAGGACTCCAGTGGTTGGTGTGGGGGATAGAGGGGAGGTGGGGGATAGAGGGGGAGGTGGGAGATAGTGGAGGTCGTGGTGTTGAGGTTCCTAGTGGGATTAGGTTGTAGAGATGGAAAAATATATGATTCATTGTTCCTCCCATTCCTTCCCATCCCATTACCCACCCCCTCCCCCCCCTATTCCTCCTCCCTTCCCTCCCTCCCTCCTGCTGGTGAGATATATGTAGCGCCGTTCTCCTCCCCCAGGTAGGTCTTCTGTAGGGTAGTCTCCGGCGCCGGGTGAGTGTGTTCATCTCCAGTTTAATGGCGCCTTCTGGATAATGGTTCCTTCCCTCCCTCCGTCCCTCCCTCCCCGGGCCGAATAGATATACCGTGTCCTTTATTTAATGAGGACGATGTA